ATTATGTAACAATCACAATAACCCAGGTGTACTTCCAGGTAGGCCATCACCAGGTGAACTGACTGCTGCTGTGCAGAGTGATGGGTTTGCTTGGTGACTGACTTCGGAGTAAGGATTTGGTTGTCATGAATCAAATTGGAGTTGCCTTAAGTCAAGTTTACTTAAGGACAATTAACAGCAACAGGACACGCACATCTAGAAGAAAAATCAGGAGAAATATAATGCATAAAAGATGAGAAACACAATGATCCCATATTCCTTCCTATTTCTGACACAAAATAGGATTATGGAATTACTAGGATTCAGATACCCAATCTATATCCTGCTACTGAAATGCTACTCAGAATCTAGAGTGAGGTGGATGAAAAGGGGCCCCCAACCATATGCATTTTCAAAGTACAATCTAGTACAACAGTCTAGATACTTATTCCCCTTATTTATGCCTTATTTGAGTCCAATTCATTAGAGACTTTTGTTGACTCTTCCCATCTTCTTCTTCAGTATCACTGTCTTAGCAGCTTCATTTGGCTGGTGTCATTGTTGTGACTAGGTGCATTCAAGTTGACTCCAAGTTCCTGGTGACCTTATGCAAACTGAAACAAAATGCTATTTGGTCCCATCCCATCCCATGATCTGCTGAGCACTGGATTGTGGTGATCCATGGGGCTTTCATCAGCTCCTCTTCAGAAGTAGAGTGCCCTGCCTTTCTTCCCGAACTGTTGCCTTAGCCTGGAACTTCGGCTGAAATCTTTTCAGTCTTGTAGCAACACACACTTGTCTGCAGAGAGGAGCTGTGGCTGTGTATGGAGTGCGTGGTCTGGAAAATGAGCCATGACCTGTGGCGTGGAGGCAAGAAACCAATCAGTGAACCACCAGTTCCTCCTTGATTTGACTGATGTTGTTAGGAGCTGGGGAGTCAGTTCGGACTCATCCCGACCCTGCGAACAACAGAAAGAGACACCAATTGGTCCAGCCTCACAGTTGGTTTTATGCTTGAGCCCATTGTTGCAGCCACGGTGTGAATCCATTTCCTCATTTTCACTACCCTTCTATTTTACCAGGCAGGAACTGATTTATCCTGAGTCTGTCTTAAGTACACGAGACCAAGTCTTAGCCACTCTTGGCTCTAAGGAGCATTCTGGCTCTAGTTCTGCCAAGACAAATCTGTATGTCCTTTTGGCAGTCTGTGGTATTTCAGTATCCTTTTCCACCCCCATAATTCTAGTGCCTCAATCATTCTCGGGCATTCCTTATTTATTTTGCAGTTTTCAGGCGCATCTGAGGTGAATGAGAAGACCGTGGCCTGGGTCAAGCGTACCTTAGCCCTCAAAACAACATCTTTGCTTTTTAACATTTCAAAGAGTTCTTTTGCAATAGGTTTGTTCAATATAAAATGTAATTTGACTTCTTGATTGTTGCTTTCAGGAGTGCGGATTGTGAATCCAAGCAAAATGATAGCCTTGACCACTTCAGTCCTTTCTCGGTTTAGATGTTATCTTTTTGTCTGTTGGTGAGGAATTTTGTTTTCTTTGAGTTGTAATCCATACTGAAGACAGCAATCCTTTATCTTCATCAGCAAGTGCCTCCAGTCCTCTTTGCTTTCAGCAAGCAAGGGCTTGTCATCTGCATAGCACAGGTTGTTAATGAGTCTCCCCCCAATCCTCACACTGAATTCCTTTTCATATGGTTCAACTTGTTGAATTGTTTGCTCAGCATACAGATTGAATAAGTATACTGAAAGGATACAATACTGATGCACACCTTTCTTTATTTAAAACATGCAATAATCCCTTGCTTTGTTCCAACGACTGCTCTTGGTCTCTGTGCAGGCTCCTCAAGAGCACAATGAAGTGTTCTGAAATTCCCATTCTGCCACAGTTTGTTTTGGTTGAGAGTGCCTAATAGCTTTGTATAGTTAATAAAACACAAGTAATGATTTTTCTCAGTTTCTGTTTTCAGCCAAGATTCAGGGGCTTTTCTTCTGGGAATATCTCAGGCAATGTGTCTCTGCTATTCATAAGACTCTCAGTGGCTAAAACAGCCTATTTCTTATTTCAAGTCTGTACTTGGTCTGGATGCTCTGTTCAAATATGTTCACCATGGATGATCCTGCTGGTATTTGAAATTCCTGTGGTATCAGTTCTAGCAACAAAGCAATGTGCAAGCCAGCACAATATGACAAAGTGACATAAAACTGGCTTGTTATTTGGCTGTCTAGAAATGCCATTGAGGGGATTCTGACTCATTGTGATGCTATATTTTATTGTAAGCCATATAAAATTGGTTGCACAGCTAGATGGTAGTCACAAGTGAACAAAAGTGTTACATTTGGGACATATCAGTTCTTGTCTTTCCTAAGGTAATCTGTGTTTTTCCTTGGATTTCTTGGGGGAAAGTTCTGATTCTTGACGACACATAAGAATCACTTGGACACTTTTAAAAGAAATGCTCTCTGGGTTCCATCCCTAAAGAATCTGATTTGACTGATCAGAGCTGAGCCTGAAGACCAAAATATTTAAGTGTTCAGATGACTCTAATATAGCAGCCAAGGCAAAAGCTACAGTTCTAAGGGGTTTTCTTTACTGTTAGATGCTACAACACAAAAACAAACAAACAACAACAAACCCAAGTCCTTTACTATTGAACTGATGTGATCTATAGTTTTTGAGACTATAAACCTTTGTGGGAGCAGATTGCCTTATTGCTCTCCTGTGGAGCAGCTCGTGAGTTTGAACTGCCATCCTTGAGGTCAGCAGCCCAATTCCTAACCTGTAATGCAACTAGAGCTCTTTGTTAGATGATAAACCAAAATCAAACTCACAGCCATTGAGTTGATATCAACTCACATTGACCTTGGAGAGCAGGGGGAAACCGCCCCTGTGAGTTTCTTTGTAGGAGTAGAAAGCCCCTACTTTCTCCCGCAGAAAAGCTGGTGGTTTCGAACTGCTGACCTTGCAGTTAGTAGTTCAGTGTGAAACCATATGCCACCAGAGTTCCTTTTTTAGATGATAAGGCTGTGAAAAGCTTTCTGATCATATATAAATTCATTGGAGTACAGCAGCAACTTTGGACTTTATAAATGCTGTTCACTGCTCCAATAGAAATCTAAATGTTCCAATTTATTGGGAAGACTTGTGATGCCTGTGATCATACATAGTTGAAAACATGCAGAAAGGGTCAAATGGAAAGGGAAAGTGCTAAATCCACAGCTTTTCATTTTTATATTTTAAAATGAAAAATTTTACTAAAAAATGAAATATATTTTCCCCTGACACTGAAAAATGAATCCCAACGTAATCACAGCAGGTGTACAGCTATAAAAAAATAAACTCACTGCCATCAAGCTGATTCTGACTTACAGAGACCATTTAGGACAGGGTAGAATTGCTCCTGTGAGTTTCCAAGACTTTAACGCTTAACAGGAGTAGAGAGTCCCATTTTTCACCCCACACAGCAGCTGATGGTTTTGAACTGCTGATCTTGTGGTTAGCAGCTCAACGAATAACCATTATACCACCAGGGATCCTTAAAGCTATAAGCATTGGTAATTTTTAAGGAATACCCAACCCTTTTCTATGAGATAAGTATTCTTTAATATGACTAATCACATACAGAATTTAACTTCTTCGTGCTTATATGAATTGAATAAAATGGACAGAAAGTGCCCCGAGGGTAAAGAGTTTATGCATAATAGCTCAGATTTAGTAGGAGATGCTACGTATCCACCAGGAGGATGAGAAGAATGGGCATAGTATCCAAAGGAATTTTTCCCCAAAGGAAATGATTAATTGGTTTTTATATTCCATATTACACTTATGGATTTAACCACTACTTTTATTATCAAAAATGACAGCTTAGAAGAAATGGACTGAAATTAGAGTTTCGAAGAGGAATGTGTGCAAATGCAGTGGAAGAAAAGCAGAGATTATTTTGTACTACAAATAGAGTAGAAAATGTGAGAAAATTGAAGTAGTGCTTCTGGGGCCTCTGTCTTATGTTTTATTTTGTCCTGTTTTGTTTTCTAAAGCAGATTTTGTTGGTGTAATATGAGGCTGTCTCAGGACTACTGTTCCATACACTGTGGAGTGCTGCATAGCTCTGAGGGTTTAGATTCCGGCGTAATCAGGAAACGTGTTTTACATCATATTTGTCACTCAGTTTTGATCGTTTATAATCTCATTCTGTAGAAATGCTCGGTTTTAGTGTCCTAGAGCTAGAAAACACAGCACCACCAAGTGCATGGTTTAAAGAACAGAAATGATTGCATGAATTTTGGAGAGCGAGAGTGCCAATCGGGATTCTGGCCTTGTTGATTCCTTCTGAGGGGCCTAAGCGAAGAGCTACTCCCTGGCCCCCTCCCAGCTTTTTGATCCTTACCATGCCTTTGCTGCTTGTAGCATTTCTTTAATTCTCTTAACTATTACTCAACATCCCTGTTCCCTTTATCAGATACCCCCTCAGAAGAGATTAGGCCTATATCCCCCTATTCTAGCATGACACATAATACTTTCAACAGAAAAATCATATTTATAAATAAAGTCACATTCACCAGTGCAGGAATAACACATTAAGATTTAATTTTGGAGTGACACCATTCAATTCCTAAAACACAATGAAATAAATCAAGCATACCTAAAGCAGCCTAGGGTTGAATCTTGCCTTTACCCTTTAGTGGTGGCACTTTGGAGAAATTATTTTGTACCCCCAGATCCTCACCTGCAAAACCTGGATAAAACCTACAGTGTTTAGTGGATCTAAAGAGTCAATAGCAGCCTCGCACTTAAAACAGTGCCTGAAAAAAAAAAAAAAAAAGAAAGAAAAGGAAAAAAACAAAAACAGTGCCTAATACCTAGTAAGCAATTGATAAATACCGATGGTCATCTCTGTGCAACACGATGACTTTAACATCTGCTTCATTACATTATGTTCATCAGCAACTTCCAGAAATCTGTGGGGCAGTTGTATCTGTCCATTTTGCATTTTATAAATGTAGAGTGTTAAATAGAATAATTTTATATTATATATGTGTGTTTTATTTCTTTTTGGAATTCTGAGTCTTCTTGCTATTATTATTATGGTGTCATCTGTTGCCTTTAAATCAGCTGACTCATAGTGACCCTATTTGCTATTTTCAGGGTACAGATGGGTGCAGTATTGTAGCCACTGCATCGTTTGAGTGCTTTATAGCCTACAGGGTCCATCTTCCAGCACTGCCTCAGGCCGTGTGCACCTGTGATCCATAGACTTTGCAGTGGTTGCACTGTCGATACAGACCACTCGGCCTCTCTTCCCAGGCTGTTCACCTGGAAGCTCAATTGAAACGCGTCCACGCTAGGTGATGCTGCTGATATTTGATGTACTTGCGCCATAACATCCAGCATCACAGCAATAGGCAAGACACCAATTATGAAAACTGACAGAGGTGGCAGATTATTTTAGTGGCTTCTAATAATGGGGATAGCAATCAACAGAAATATTTATTAATGAAAGGAATGCACTCATGGAATATTTTGATTTAGGTATTGATTATGACTAGGAGGCCTTGGGATACATATTAAAGGGGACTATGGCCTCTACTTAATGACAGTGGATTTGGGGTGAGTTATCCACTACTTTTACAATAAGTGGGGGTGGGGTGGAAATTCTTTTTGAAATGAGGCAATTGTTGACTAATTGAGCATTAAAAAAAAGTCCCATTTCCCCTGAAGTAGAACATTTAATGAAAAGTGCTGTTGGATTTGAATTTCAATTATTACCTCTCATTTCCCTTCACTTGTGTTAAGTTCAGCTACACCGGCGTTTGTTGAGGCTGTTTTCAATCCTGTCACTGAATGTTTTCCACAGTCTCTGTCATTGATTGTTTCCTGTAGTCATCAGATATTTACTGAGCTCCTACTACAGTCCCAACAATTTGTTCAGGAGGAAATTGATCCATAGAGTTGGAATACTTACTCCAATAAATGCCAACTACTGCAAGATCTTTATTAACATAGCAGGCTACTCTTCAACAAGAACTACAGTGACCAGTCCATATCTTCGAGAGTTTGCTGTCCCTGTGGTAATCAATTGTTAATTTATTTAATGCTTTATTTGTTTTAAGCATTATACTACCCAGGCACTATTCTAGAGGCCACGAATTAAACATTAAGACTGGTTCCTATCCTGATTGGCTGCATTTTAGCTGGAGAGAAGAACAGTAGGCAGAAAGTTAATGGAGTCCTAGGGTGATGCAAATGGTGAACATACTTGGCTTCAAAACAGAAAGGTTGAAAGTGAAGTTCACCTTCAGGCACTTTCAAAGAAAGGCCTGGGGACCTACATTATCCATTGAAAACCCTGTCAAGCACAGTTCTGCTCAAACACACCTAAGGTTGCTAGGAGTTGGCATTGATTCGGTGGCAAGTCATTCGGTTTAGTTGCTAATGCAGTATCACTTATGTACAGGAGGCTCACTTTAAGTCGACTTTTATCTAAACCTGTATGAAGTAACCTTTTAGCTGAATCAACCATAAAAAAAGAGAGAAAGTTGGCATATACAAAAGTTAAGCAGGGAAAAAACACATCCATGTGTCTTATTTTTCATGTAATTATTCCTGTTAACACAAAAGCAAAAGTTCAGATGGTTGCTTGTTTCTAGATCAATCTGCATAGTGAGTGTATTTTGAACAAAAGACTTTTCAGGCAATCAGAAACTACAGATTAACCTGAGCATTTTTATTGGCTATTCAATGTTTGAGCTGATACAAAACTAATAACAGAAATGCTCTAAGACCGTCAGTGTTGCTGTGCACTCCCGAGTCAATACCAACGCATAGCCACCCTAAAAAACAGAATAGAACTTCTCAAAGGTGGTGAAGCCAATGAAGTGCTTGACTTCTAACCAAAACAGGTCTTGGAGCCTACCAGCTGCTCTGAGGAAGAAAGATGTGCCGGTCTGCTTCCAGCAAGATTGGGAACCCTACGGAGAAATTCTATTTTGTCCTACAGGGTGCCCTATCTTTTGAAAAAGAATGTTTTAGAAAATACACCATCACACTATTTTTAAAATGCGTGTCTTGTATTATTTGTGAGGCAGACTTGTCTAATGGCAGAAGAAGATATGTTTTGCTACGAGGATTACATTCACATTCTTGCTCAGGATTGCTTTATTGGTGAAGGAGGAGCAGACCAGAGCATGATCTGCCCAGAGGAAGAGTGTGAACTGGTTGATGCTGAGGAAAGGGAGAGTAACCTGGAGACCAGGGACGCGCTAGACTTCCATGGAACTGATTCCACCTCAATGGTGACCCTCTACAGGCTTCCACTGGGGCAGCGAGCCTTATCTCCTATGGAGTGTCTGCTGGATTTGAACCACCAGCCTTATCACTAACAACCCAAAGCTTATCCAACAGCACCACCAGGGCTCCTTTGGCAAACAGCTTAAAAGTCTGTCATCTGGGGTTCTTGTATTAACACCATTCCAAAAAGAATGCTATCCAGAAGACTGAAGCAGAATATTAAAAACAAGTATTTAAGTAAACAGGCAAAAATAGTCATTGTGTCTGAATTACTTAGTTCATGGTGATACAAATGACAATCTGTGCCAGATTTATTTCTAATGTCCTAGCTGGTATCTGGGGCTGCTAATAATCAATTTGGTCCTCCTCTTCTTACTCCTCCTCCTTCCTCTCCTCCTCCTCCTCCCCGTCTTCCTTTTCTTGTTCTCCCTTTCCTTCAGCATCTGCTTCCCCTTCTCCTCAACCAGTGATGTCAAGTTTCAGTAATGCAGTTCATCACAATGAGCATTATTGTCTTCATGAATTCACAACACTTGGGCCATCGTCATATAAAGTTTATACTCATCTTTTTTGATTTATATAATGATTTATTACAAACCTATTTTTAAGACAGGTTGTCTCTTTTTAACCTGAACGGCTAGCTTTGAAGTTATGGATTATATCCTGCAAACAACTAGTACCTTTTGTTGCCTGAGTTTTAAGTATGGGAATACTATTAATAAAGGAACATACAAATAATCACCAATGTTATAAAAGAACAGTTTGCTCTTCTCAGAACTACTAACATCAAACCAATTTCTGAAATTAGATCACTCATACGGTCAGCTCATTCTAATCATTTATTTTTTAGCACATGCATGTTGCCAATAATAAAATCTTTTGAACTTCGTTATTCTATCTACAAAGATAAGATGGTAATATGACATAGTATTAACTTACAATTTGTTGATCTGTTTAAAGTAATAGCTCACCATAATGGGGCATTTTCAATCAAAGATTTTAAAATCCACATTTAAAACACACTGTGGCCATGTCAATGATACTAATGGGTTGATGTGTGTGTGGTTTTCGTGTCGGTCACCTCCTCCAGATGTGGACGTCATCGAGTGCTCCTTACAGTTCCCGGATGATGACTATTCCTGGTGGGACCTCTTCATGAAGATCTGCGTCTTCATCTTTGCGTTTGTGATCCCTGTGCTCATCATCATCGTCTGCTACACGCTGATGATCCTGCGCCTGAAGAGCGTGCGGCTCCTCTCGGGCTCCCGCGAAAAGGACCGCAACCTCCGAAGGATCACCCGGCTGGTCCTGGTGGTGGTGGCTGTCTTTGTGGTGTGTTGGACGCCCATTCACATCTTTATTCTGGTGGAGGCTCTGGGGAGCACCTCCCACAGCACCGCGGCCCTCGCCAGCTACTACTTTTGCATCGCCTTGGGCTATACCAACAGCAGCCTCAACCCCATCCTCTACGCTTTCCTTGATGAAAACTTCAAACGCTGTTTCCGAGATTTCTGCTTTCCCCTTAAGGTGAGGATGGAGCGCCAGAGCACGAGTCGAGTCAGAAATACAATCCAAGACCCTGCTTACATGCAAGATGTGGGGAGGATAAACAAGCCAGTATGACTAGTCGTGGAGATGTCGTCTTACAATTCTGTAGACAGGGATGAGTTCAATGATCTTGGTTCAACTCAGATTACAACCACCATCTAAGGCATCGGATAGAGCACGTTTTAAACACACTCTCGGAAATCGTGTGGTCTGAATCATGTGCCCAGATCAGTGGAAGCAGAAGGCCGGAGGGGCTGAAACAAAAGATAGATGAAGCCAAAGTTAGAAAAGGAAGCCTGGCTTCTATTTTCTGAATGAGCAAAGAAACAAACCTCGTTGCTCTAGTTACCTAATTCTAGCTCAGCATCCCTCTGCTGCCGCCTTCATGTGCAACATGGTTTCCAAAACTATGTTTAGAACAACAAGAAAATGTTGATTTCAGAACCTAGTAGACATCCAGCTAAGATGGTTAGCATTAACTACAGCACCTACAGAAAGAGTGATGATAATTTCTGAACTCCTCACGAGCTTTGTGCTCTGTGGGCTAGCATTACATGTGGCGGTGTGTGGAAAATTCTGGCTGATGTGTGCCTCAGACACCCATCTGATGTCTCTGATCTTCCTGTGTAATAGAATAGCATCTTGTTATTCATGAAAGTATTTAAGCATGCTAAAGGTGGTTTCTAGCATAGTTTACCCTTTTTGCTTATTACTGATGTATGTGTATCATGTTATTCTCATCAGTAATCTCATGATAAAGCATGTACTATTGTCAAATGACAACGTGGTTTAAATAGGATAGTAATTATCTCTAGTTTATTCTGTAAATGTAGTATATGTGCAAATAAAAATGGACTTTTATTTAGCCAGGCCACTTCCTAGGTTCTGCTAAAGATCTTCCTGAGATATTTAGAGCTGAGGTGTAATGTTTTCCACTCCCATCAGCTGTTCCCTGGGACCTGATCATCCTTAGTGCTTTACCAGTGTGTGTCGCTCTTGTGCTCATGTGTTCAACTCACTTTGAGGCTTCAACTCTAGACAGAATCTAGTTTACTTGTAGCATCTCTTTATGAATATGGGGCTATTTGTAGATCTTAGGATATTATTCAGTTGCTTTCAGCACAAAGTAAAATTGTTCATAAGTGCAGGCAGAGTGATGACATTATATCTTTTACTTTGCAAGGACATACCTTGACCTTGTGTTCTGCAAAGACTACACCTGCTGAGGATAATTCCACAAACAGCACATTTAGCGTAATTTTGTTAAAATCCCAGATGACATATAAATCCTTGCCCCCCCTCTATTTCTCTTGAAACTTATGGTTTCAGAGTTAATGGCTTTTTTTGATAATTTGGCTCAGCAGAAGAAAGGGATAATTTAGAAATAAACCCATCCCTTCTTAAATTCTCTGTTATGTGGGTACCACTCTCTAGAACCTAACAGGAAAATCAAATGTACAGACCTTTGTAGTTCTACATCGTAATATCTGTTCAGTTTTGTTCACTCGTGCTTTCTCTCTCATGCAAATACTATTTTTTGAAAACAAAACCTTGCACCAGGGTTTTTTACATATGCTTTCAGAAGTTTACATTGATCATTTATTAGATTTTTCTGGCATGTAACATAAATGACAACAGGTCAGATGGCAAGGCTTTTCCTGATTGAAATGACAGGCTCTTTGGGCATTTCTAAAATTTCATTAAAATTCTTAGATGTCATTAGATTCATTGAATTAAATATAAATAGAATATATTTAAATATTTCTCAATGTTAACGTCATGGTTAAAAATCCCAAGGAACATATGAAAGGAAATCTGTATCTTGGGAGAGTAGTACTAGCATTAAACTCTATTGAAATCTTTGTGAAGCAACAAAGCCCAGAAGATTTTCTGGGTGGATTCTAATGCAAAACAAAAATTTATCACCGATGCAATCATGGAGTTAAATTATAGTGATGTGTTCTCTGTACTACTCTACAAGACTTCCTAGGATTAATTGCCATTATTGGAGTCTGACCTTTTACTTTATCATCTTGGATTTATCCTCATGTAAACTTTTAGCCAAAGAAAAGAGAGGAGGAGTCCATGAGTGCTAATGAGAGATAGTTAAGCTTCTTTGTTACTATTACTACCTGTTCCCCAAAACATAAACAAGGAGATGAGATGTATCTATTTTTTATATAACTGCATTAGGGAAAAAGAGATCAAACATAAGAATGATTGTAAAGATGGCACAGGACCAGGCAGTGTTAGCTCTATTGTACATGGGTTGTTATGAGATGGAACTGATTCAATGGTACCTAACAACAACAATGTTAGGGAACATGGTGAATGGAATATACTGAATGCGGTAGACCTCATTGCGTGAAATACAGAGTGGAATAAGATAATGGAAAAAAGATATTAATAGTCAGAAAAAGGACAAGGCTGATTATGGTATCAACCGTCAATTGCTCAAGTTTAAGGTGAAAAAATTAAAACAAGTCCAGGAAAAGCAAAGACTAACCTTAAGTATATCCCATCTGAGTTAGAGTCTATCAGAAGACTACATTTGCATACTGAACAGCAATGACTTTAGATCAGATGAATTGTGATATGACAACAAGGATATCACACATGGAGAAAGCAGAAGGTCGTTAAAAAGACAGGAAAGGAAAGATTGAAAAATAGATGCCAGAAGAGACTCTGGAAACTTGCTTCTGACCATAGAGGAGCTAATGTGAACGGAAAAAATAAGAAATTTGCTGAACAGAAGATTTAAAAGCGTGGCTCAAGAAAGTAATGTATATAAAAAAAGAAGGTAATGTATAATGAAATGTGTAGGAATCTAGAGTTAGTAAACAAAAAGGAAGAGAGTGCAGCATTTTTCAAGCAAAAAGAACTGAAGAAAATATTTAAGCCTCAAATTGCAGTATTGACATAGCATTGGGCTGCTAACCTCAAGGTCAGTGGTTCAAACCCACTAGCTACTCCACAGGAGAAAGTTGAGGCTCTCTGTTCCTATGAAGATTTACATCTTTGGAAATCCCACATCAGGTCACTGTGAGTTGTAATTGACTCGAAGGCAGTGGGTTTGCTTTGGTTTGGCTATAGGAAAAATATTGAACGATGCTGGGAGCATCAAAAGAAAATGGAAGGAATAAACAGTCACTATACTCAAAAGCATTCATTGATGCTCCATCATTTCATGAGGCAGCAGATGATCAAGAACTGATGACACAGAAGGATGATGTTCTGGCTTCACTAAAGGCATTGATGAAAAAGAAGACTTCAGGAATTAACAGAATACCAATGGACAATTTCAACAAATGGATGTAATGCTAGAAACATGCCTGTGTCTATGCCAAGAAATATGGAATATCTATATATCCAACGGACTGGAAGAGACACATATTTGCTTCCAGTCCTAAAAAAACAAACAAACAAAAAAAACCAACCCAATAGAATGTGGAAAATCCATCCAAAAAAGGCATAATCCATTTGTGGTAAGACATTGTATTTTTTCTTTTAAAAAACCATATCCATGTTTGAATGTTTTACCTAATGTGTGTTATTTATATCTTGAACTTTAGAAGATGATAATTGTACATTATACCTATTATTGTGTGCCTTGCAATAAAACAAAAATTGTACCTGTTAAAATTCACGGTCAATTATTGCAGTGTATCTCTTTTTTTCATGGCTTCTCTTATGCTGCATTTTAGTGATAACAATGCTAAATTTTTCTTGAATCTGTTTTACAAATTACTTTAACTTTCTACCTACGAAAATAGTGTGGATGATTAAGTGATATACATAAAACATGTCTACACTGTCCAGTCTATTCTGACTCATAGCAACCCAATATAGTAGGACGGGCTAGAGCTGCACCCCAGGCTTTCCAGCGTTGGAAGTCTTTATGGCAGAGCAGCTAGTGTTTGCTGATGGATGTCCTTCTTGTTAGCAGCCAATGCTTAGCCCACTGCCACCAGAGTTCCTTGATTAAGAGAAAGGAGCAAACATGTAGGAATTGAAACTCTGATTTTAAATTTCCAAACTTAAGAAAATTCACCTGCTTTTCACAGAATTGCTGATAGTTTCCCAGAAGCAATACTGTATACTGTTATCCTTATAAATAAACAAAACACTTCTTTTTCCTAAATAACAAAATACCTATGAAATTCAAAAGCTGTCACATGAATAGAAGTATAAAGAAATCACTCCTTAACTGTGTTAATCCAGGCTGACTAGAGAAACAAATTCATAGACACTCACGTGTTATAAGAAGGAGCTTTATATAAAGGACCAATTGCATATTGAGAAAACATCTAAGCCCAGTCCAGATCAAGTCCATAAGTCCGACATTAGCCCATATGTCCAATACTAGTCCATAAATTTCTCTTTAGCTCATGCAGCACATGCAATGATACTGAATGGATACCCAGTGGGTAGAGGTCTTGTGCATCCAGTGGCAGTGGAAGCATCTCAACGTTGGCACAGGTCTCCATATGTCTCCTGCAGCTCTCTGAGTGTCTCGACAGCAGAAAAGGGGAGGCAGAGAGTGTGTCCCACCTCCAGCGAGGAAGACGGGAGCTCCCAAAATCCTCAGGAGAAGGCCATGACCAACAGAGGCCTCATTGGCTATGACCTGATTGACAGGTGAATAACTAAATGTATAACCACTACACCACCAAGGCTCTTTCATTTAACAAAAAATGGAAAAATAAATTTGGAAAAGCCTATGGAAATAGGATCTAGGGAGTTTGAAAAAGAATGAAATGGTGTGGAGGTGGCATCTGAATGCCTCTAACTTCAAAGAAGGAGAAGGAAAACCAGGAGCAGGATCAACTGCCCAAAGTCAAGTCCTATGAGACTAAGGCTATATCTCTCAACTGGAACTATCTTACCAATTGGTGCATCCCCGGTCTCTCCCAACCTCTATTTTTTCAAGTGGGTTTGATAATTCATTGCAGCGGCCACGCAGAATTCACAGACAATACTCACAATTAATGGGATTTATTAGGAAAGTTAACAGGTTACAATTCAAGTGAAAAAATGTGCAGGACACAGTTGCTCAGGCAGGATACTTTTGTCACTGCCATACCCTCATGTGGTCCTCCCTCAACTTAAGCCTAAAAGCCTGACTTCCACTCTGCCTGGACAATGTTACAAAGCTCATTTATGGCTGCTAATGAATGCCCAAAGGGCATGCCATTCCTGCTGTAAGCCTCAACTCAAAGGCATTCAGTTTCCGCTTCTTTAGTCAATAAACCTAGATTTTCCAATCAAGTGCCTGGAGGTACTCCACTCCACAAACCAGCCTGTTTCCCCAAACCATCCCACTTTACTTGCTCTATGGGCTGGGAATTGCAGTACTCTGTCTCATGCTCTGTCCCCCAGTGAAGGAGGTTCAATGCTAGAGATCTAAGGGTCCAAAAGACATATTTCACTCTAGGCTCTTCTCTCTTGCTGGTGGTGAAACTCCCTACCACACTTCCTGCTTCTGATATGGTTTTAGTCTCAGCAGGGTGGCAATCACAATGAACCCTATTACTAATATCTCACTACTGAATCATAAAATATAATCAATATCTTTTAACCCAGACCCACCAGGAAAATGAAGGCCGTTTGGTGGGAGCTACAAAAGCTATGGGTAGAAAAGCCTTATTGAATAATTCATTACATTGCAGGGAGCAGTTTTTCACTTGAAACAAGTTTCTTTCCTTGAGTTGGATTCTGTGTACAAATGATTATATATGAATATGTGGTTAGAAAGTTATTTTCAAGGAAATTTTTAACATACTTGACTAGAGAAGAAATACAGCTGTTACATATTTTATACTTTATGGTATTTTCTGCAGCATATAATTAATTTACATCATTATATATTTCTGCAGATGGTCTTCAGGCTTGTGGAAACTAGAAATAACAATAAAATAATATAAAAACATTAAAATTGAATAATTTTTTATTAACTGATGAATATTGTGACTATTCATATTTGTGCTAGGGACTATGCTAGATTCTAGATAGAGTGTAGTAACCAAAATATACTTTTGTCAAGATACAGCATCTGGGGTCTTAAAGGTTTGAAGATAAACAAGCAGCATCTAGCTGAGAAGCAACAAAGTCCACATGGAAGAAGCACACCAACCTGTGTGATCATGAGGTGTCGATGGGATCAGGTTTCAGGCATCGAAGACCCAGAACAAGAAAATCATATCAATGTGAATGAAATGGAGGCCCAAAGCCCATCTGTAGGCAATTGGGTCACAAGGAAGAGATGAGCCAGTCAGGGTGCCATATAGCACTGAGGAAACATACAACTTTCCTCTATGACTTTAATGCTTCCTCCCTGTGACTGTCATGATCCCAATTCTACCTTACAAATCCAGCCAGACCAGAGCATGTACATGGGTACAGAAAAGAGCTGAAAACACATGGAATCCAGGATAGATAAACTCCTCAGGACCAATAATGAGAGCAGAGATACCAGGGGGGTAAGGGTAAGGTGGGGGGAGATAGGGGGGACTGATCACAGTGATTTACATATAACCCCTCCCTGGGTGATGGACAAAAGAAAGGTGGGTGAAGGGAGACATCAATCAGGACAAGACATGGAAAAAATAGGAGCAAGTTATAAATTATCAAGGGTCCGTGAGGAAAAAAGATGAGGGGCTGATACCAAGGGCTCAAGTAGAAAGAAAATGTTTTGAAAATGATGATAACAGCAAATGTACAAATGTGCTTGACACAATGGATGGATGGATGGATTGTGATGAGATGTATGAGCCCCCGATAAAATTACACACACACACACACACACACACACTCTTTTGGCAGTTAAAAGAAGTTATAGTAGATTCCTGGTGTTAGATGCTGTCAAGTTAGCTCTGATCACAGGGACCCCACAGGCAACAGAATGAAACACTGCCCAGCCCCATGGCATCTTCTCAGTTGTTATTGTGTTTGCAACCACTGTCAATCAATCCCTCTAATGAAGGCTCTTCCTCTTTCTTGCTGGGCCTCTTTGAAACGATGTCGTCTCATTTTGAGTCCTGCTGCACCAGCAAATGGAGGTTCTGAAAGTTTTCCTTTCCACATCATTAAGGTTTGCTGCTTTGGCTGCCTTTCAACCTGAAGGGTTTATCTTCTGGCGCTACATCAGACAACACTTTGCTGCTACTCATGAAGTTTCAGTGGCTGGCCACTCAGAAGCACACCATCAAGCCTTCCTTCCTAGTCTGTTGTTAGTCTGGAAGTCATGGGTGACCCTGCTGGTATTTGGATATAAAGCTTAGCTTCCAGCACCACAGCAATATGCAAGCCACCCGCAGCCAACAAACTGACAGATAGGTGTTAGTAATATATTATGATAGGACTATAAATTTGTAGGATGTACTTATTCTAATAGGTCTATCAAACCGTCTATCTAGAAGTCTCTGGATGGTGTAAATGATTAAGCTCTCAACCTCTAGCCAAGGGGTTGAAGATTTGAACCTACCTAGAGATGCCCTGGTGATCTGGTACTCATAGTCCCAGCTTTGAAAACACCATAAAGCAGATGTATGAGGAGGTACCCCCTCCCTCCAAAAAAAAGGAAAAAAATCATTTTTCCAAAGCTATGTATTTAATTTTTTTTTACAAAACAACCTTATATTCAAAGTACTCTCCATTACACTTAATACATTTGTCAAATCTGTGATTGCATTCTTAAAAACATTTTTCAAACTCATCTGTTTGGATGGCTGACAGCCGCTCCCTCGTTTTTTTTCTTCACCTCTTCTTAGTCATCAAATCGCTGCCCTTTCA